GATTTTAGTTTCTCTTCCGCGTGTCGGACAGAATGAAGTCAGCAGATCTTTAAACAAACGTGGAGGGTAAATAAACGTTTCCAGACCCAGAGATAGCTGTTAAAGCGGCACCGTCACCTCCCGCGAAAAATGAGTATTTTATAAAAATAGAGTCTTTATGAAAATATTTTTATTTACTGTGTTGGAATTTCATAGAAATTGAAACTCAATCAAGAGATATACTGAGACTAAGTAGGGATAATTTTGTCTCTGTTTATTTCCTCCCCTGATAGTTCTAAAGCATTATCTAGAAGTGTCAATACCCCCGTCCCCCCTCTTCCCCCCACTAGTGATGGCTGAATGGACTTTGCTTTATCTATGCAGGATCCTGCTGCCTTGTGGGATCCTCCCTAAACCTCAATGTTGTACTCTCGTGCATGCGCAAGAGTTCATCAGTGATATGGGCTCCTGTCCAGTGGCAGAACTACCGCCGGTGTAGCTGCACCGGGGCCCGCACGCCCTGTGGGGCCCATCAGGTGGTCATTATTGCTAAAAACGGGTTCAGTCGGGCACAACAGCCCTTTAAAAGCCTGACCGGGCCCCTGCAATGTCAAAATCCAAGCAAGTTCCCGCAGACAGGTCTCATTTAGGGACGGTCAGGTGTTGCTGTCCTTTGGCATAAGGACCTAGCCCATTTTTGAATCACAGTGGCCCAGACAGAGGGGGAGGGGCCAGAGAGGTGGTGTTTTGTAATCACCAATGATAAATACCCCCCCCTCTCAAAGCATGTTGGTTCAATGCTCTTCCAGGGCAGCCCACGTTCAGAGCTCTGCTGAAGAGCTCAAGCATGAGAAAAAGGTCCTGTATGTGGTCTGTCTCTGGTGTCTCCATAAGTGGCGTACCAGAGGACAAAATGGCAAGGAAAGGGAATTGTGCATGTGTTTGGAGACTGCCTGTGGGATTGCGTGTTTGTAGAGTGAGCTGATTGTGGTGTGGTATTGTGTAAATTGGTCGGTTTCAGTTGTGATGTGTTTGTGGTGTAATATGTGTGGCCAGGGACTGAAGACAGTGAGAGAGTGTGTTTATAGGTTGTGTAATGAGTGTGTGCATAGGGACTGTAGTATATGTGTGTGTGTGTGATGTAGTGTGTGTATGAATTGCAGAGAGCGTGTGTTTAGGGGATGTAGATGTGCGTGTTTGAGTGTACAGCATCTAGTATGTGCATAGGGGATCCAGAGTGTGTATGTCGGAAATGTAGTGTGTGTAGGTGGTGCAGTGTGTGTCTATAGGGGATTTCTTGTGTGTGTAGAGGAGCCAGAGTTGTGTGTGTGAGGAGTGCATGGTGTGTGAGGGGTGCACTGTGTGGTGGTGCAGTGTGTGTCTATAGGGGATCTTTTGTATGTGTTGAGAATCCAATTTGAACGTTGTGGTTAACTGCAGACACCTCCTAATTGAACCGTATTGGTCGTCGTTCGTATGCCGACCACGAGGCGGCGGCCATCTTAGATGCACGAATACACAGTGGTGTTCGTCGACAAACTCATGAAACTCAAAACTGACACTTTTTCTCCCGAACACCGCTGAAAACCGCTAACCTCCATTCTTTGTCATCCGGCATACGAACACCGGTCCATTCGGGACTTTTTATTTCACGAATGGACTTAACCCAGATAACCATCCCATGGAGCCCTTCGTATACTGAAAGAACAGTGTGAAAGACTTTGGCTCCATGGCGATTGAACTGTGTGTATTGGATCTGAGCGCCATTCGGTAATAATGTGCGCTCTGATCTAGGCTATCTGGGGATATGTTATATGTGTGGAATGCATTCGGTAGTTTTGAAGTTGTGGAATTTTATGTATTTTTACTAAATTATTTAAAATGGCATTTTGTCTCTATCCATGGAGATAATTGGATTTCTTCCCAATTATCTCCAGGATAGAGAGGGGGGTTGCTTGTACAAAGGGGAGGGTTTATATCTGAGCCACTGTGATTGGCTAATGTATCATACTTGTCCCAGTCTTCCATCTGGTCCCCTAGGGGAGTGTCCACCAGGTGGGAGACCTGCATAAATACCGGGCAGGTAGCCCTCATTAAAGCAGATTCCTGTTTTACCCTCAAGACGGAGCTTGGTCTCGTGTTTGGGGGGATTGCTTCTTTGGCATATTCTTTCACCTGTTCCAGGAGAGGAGGAGTTTGTATGATTCTCTGTTCGGGAGTTTGGAGCATTCCCTTATATTCCGTTCGGGAGTTTGGCGGTCTACAGAAACGGTGCCTGTGTCTCTAAAGGGGGGAGATCTACTAATCACTAATTTGTGCCGGGAGTGTCTTAACAGTGTGTATAAGGCATGTTGTGTGTGTGTGAGGGGTGCAGTGTGTGTGTGACAGGTACTGTGTGTGTGGTGAGCACTGTGAGGGGTGCAGTGTGTGTGTTAAGGATGCACTACTGTGTTTGTGTGTGGTGCAGTGTGTGTGTGAAGTTTGCAGTGTGTGTGTGTGTGTGTGTGTGTGTGTGTGTGTGATGGGTGCAGTGTGTGCGAAGAATAGACCGTGTTTGTGTGTGGTCCTGTGATCTCTCCCGGCCTCAGCCCGTGGCCATCGTAGCCCACATCGTAGGTTTGCTCGGTGGCCAGTCTGTGCCTGTCAGTGTGTGTATGTACCTGTGTAGGTATGATTGTATCTGTGTGTGCCAGTGTACAGGTCTGTGTACAGGGCCGGTGCTAGGATTTTGACTACACAGGCGAAGACACCCCCCCCCCAAAAACAAAATGCATCTTCATCTCTGTGTCTCGTAGCCCCCATTTTGAATTTCTTACCCCCATTAGTGTTGCATATCCACTCTCTTGAATGTCTTACCCCTTTGGCCCCTTTGTGCCTTTAGTGTGTCTCCTACAACCCCTCTTATGTATTTCTTACTTCCCCGCCAGCCCCTTTCTGTCTCTTTCTTCCCCCCAGTCCCTATCTATCTCTTTTTCTCCCATATAAACATAGACATAGATACAGGCAAAAATACATACATGCACACATACACAAACATACAGACACACAGACATAATTATTCAGGCACACAGTCACAAAGATATACAGACACACAGTCATAAAAGGCACACAATCAAACAAACACAGTCATACAATCTACACATACAGGTACATTGTCGTACAAACACAGACATACATTCATACAGACACACATTCATACAGACACAGGCACACACAGAAATACAGACACAGACATAAAGAAACATAGAGATAAGCATATAGAGACATACATACACAGTGATACAGAGACATACATACGCAGACAGTCCTAAAGAGGCATACAGATAAGGCATACAGAGACACACTGACACTGTGTAAATGCTCCGACCATCCACAGTGGTGGATGCTCCGTGTCAGGCAGACATCGCTGGATCCACCAGTAAAGTCTTCAAAAGGAATAAACGCAGGCAACTCCAATAGTAAGGATGGTATATTTATTGGTAGGTGAACCACCCCATAGAAAGTGTGATGTTTCAGCTCAGCAGAGCCTCAATCAAGCAAAAATTAATCATGCAATAAGACTCTGCTGAACCGAAACGTCGCACTTTCTCTGGGGTGGTTCATCTATCAATAAATATACCATCCTTACTATTGGAGTGTTGCCTGCATTTATTCCTTTTGAATACATACACAGACAGTCATACGGACACATACAGAATGACGGTCTGTGGCTAAAAGATAGATCCCCATCTGTCATGCAACTTCAACAATGGTTTGAAAACTGGGGCTCTACCGATTCCCCATGCTTGCAGGATTGTATTTAGCACGGAGCAGTATTTGTGTGTTTGACTGTAAGCATGTGTTTGTATGGAGTATGTTTGTGTGATTGTAGGGGGTGTGTTTGTATGTAGTGTTTGCATTTGAATGCAAGCATGCATTTATGTGTAGTGTTGGTTTTTGAATGCAGATGTGTGTTTATATATATAATTTTGGTGTCTGAAACAGAGGTGTTCTGCCACTGCTCCTGGCTTCAGTATCTCAAGAGGATCCACTGAATGAAGATGGCGGCGCCCACAAGTGACAGGTCCAGATAAGTAAATGCCACCTTTGCCAGTCTCCTGATGGCCACCGGACCACCAGGGGCAATGTCACCGTCGGGTGTCTTTACAAAGTCCCCAGTGACAGTTCTGCTTTAAATGCTGAATATGGTGTGTAATCCTGGGCTGGATGCGCTATGCGTGGTGTAATGGTGTAATATCTTTATCCTGACCTGTGGGTTTTATTGCTGTGGAGCTCTGTGATACACTCTTACATACAGAACGTTACTGGGAGTTTTACTGCTGTGGAGCTCTGTGATACATTCGTACACACTGCACATTACTGGGAGTTTTACTGCTGTGGAGCTCTGTGATACACTTGTACACACAGCACATTATTATTGCATTGGAGGAAGAACCATGTGTAGAGGTGTATGCAGAGACGTGGATAGTAGATGTGTTTGTCCTGTCCCAAGTTACTAAGATCAATCTCTCCAAAGCTCTCACTCAGAGAAACTCAGCAATTACACCATAACTGGGTGAGTGTGCACTTGATTAGAAGCCATGAATAGTCTGATCCAGTCTGTGTATAAATTGCAGTATGTCTGCTACCAGTTCACTGTGCGATGATTGGACTGCTCTCTGTCGCTAGACTGCAGATCCAATAAATGTCTGCTAGACGGGGAGTATTGGAAGTGATTGATACGATAGTCCAGACTGGGATGCTTGGATTGGTGGAGCCATTTCCTAGTGGGAGTGGTCAGCTTGTATCTGCAGACTGGCCCATTATACAGTGCACCAGGAACACAATGTTATTATGTTTTGGTAATTTTGTTTATTAACAATACTTGTAATGCCTTATCTGTACAATGAATAATAATATAATGGTATATAATCATTTTGAGTTTACAGAATAGGCCCCGCAGATATCTGGGACTACATTTAAAACAGCGTTCATGTCAAGAACATTAGCAAAAGCTTTATTATAAACCCTTTTTCAATCTCTGATTAAATAAGTATTTATTGCTCAAACAATCCACATTAGATAAAGAATTATTTATATATATTACCTGTATATAATAATTTATATGGTGTATGTATATTCTGCATTTTATTGAGCCCAGATCAGCTGATTCATGAAATTGTGATTTTTAATATACATTTACATATCCCCAATATTTAAAAAAAAAAAATCGATGCCCTTAAGCCCAACACTGTTAAAATTTGAGTGCGTCCCAAAAATGCAATTTAACAAACATCATTTTACCGCGACACCAGGCAGCAAAAGGTTTCAGACTCTATAGAAACCATAGAAACTGTCATTCCATTTACTACTTACTACAAAACGCCAGTTTTAATTCTAAATTGTTCTTTTTTCTCACTGTATTATTTTTCTTCATTGTAACAAGTCCCGTGATAATCAATCAAGGTTTGTAAATACGTTCTGAATTTTATAATCCCAGTCACATGTACATGTACCTATTTTACAAATTGTGTTATATCTCCCCTCCTCCAGATAGCTATTTCTCTTATTGAGAGGAATAATTGGAAATTGAGTCGAATCGAGTATTGCGCCTTCGTTTGGATCACCCACAGAAACCAATATGTAAAAGGCTGAATTCAATGGACTTATATCTTTCTCTTTTTTTGAACTTATTTTGCTAGGTAAGATTGTGCAGAGAGAATATCACATGATTGATTCACTTTCATCTTTGAACCCAATAAACATGTATTTTATAGCGTGTGTTTATATCTGTAAACAGCATAAGTTCCCTGTCTGTCTGCTCTATGGTTTGGCACCTTTACTACACATTCAGTGAGCAGGAATCTGACAAACTCTATAAACGTATACATGTACGAGAGTGAGAGAGTATTCTTGATATTTCTTCTGTCCTCGATTGGGAGGTAGGCGCCAAATACATTCACGTAAATAAATAATCTCATCACCACCAGCCTGACTTGGATATCGATGATGAAGAGGTCATTTACTATCAATAATGATCATTCTATAAGCCATAAGATTCTCAGATGTATTTTTGACCAACAGTGTTGTGTCCTGTGGCACTGAGTCATAGTACGACAGTGTGCACAAACCTCTTGCTTCGGAGAGACATGTGTCATTTATTATATGGCGATTTCCTGATGCAATGAGGCAAAGCTTGCAGCCACAGTCCTCATTGGATGAGGCAGTATCAGTGATAATCCACAGAATTAATGGTTACACGCAGACACCATCACTACTTGGGAGTCTCAGAATCTCTGTGAGGTTAATAACCAAAACCAAGAATTGTGGACAATTGGAAGCAAAGAGCAAATTATAGGATATTCTCGTCCACATGCTGAAATGGTAAAATTTGAGAATTTCCCCTATTATTGTCTATATTTTGCCGTTTCCCTCTCCGATTTCCCCAGTTCCTCTTTCGTGATAAACCCCATCATGTTCAATGAGGCTCTCTGAGATCTTATTTACATTTTATTTGTATTAAAAATTAAACCCTGTGTTCAGTCTGACAGCTTGCTTACTGACATTATATTTGCAGCCAGTAGAAATATGGTACATTAAACAGTGGATAAGATAAACTATGAATTCCAAGTATTTTTTAAGGGGATTTTCTGCAAATATTAGGAAGAACAGGTCACCCCCAATTAGATCACCTGTTTACCAGTAATATAATATAGTAAAAGGAGTTTTATTAAATTAAAATGGATGAAATAGGGCACAACGCACTCTGTTACAATAAGGTCCTCATTCTCAGGAGTTTTATCCTTATTTCACATCACCGGAAAACTGGCGAGATTTGCGATTCCGCAGGCGTTCTTCTTCTCTCTTGCCATGAGAATGTATCCTTTCCTCCCCCATTGTTCTCCCCAGCTTAAAAAAATATAATAAAAATCAGTGAAATCTAAAATATAACGACTGAGCTGTAATACATCATATGATACAACGTCATATGATAACATTATACAAATATAAACAGAACAATTAAAAACAAATCTCTGGTGATGTTATCAAACAAATCAACATATTGAACCAAGATTTCACATTCAGCAGAGGAAAAGGTCCCTACACCCAGAACTCTAACAATGTGACATAGTCTGCCTGGAGACATTTTATAGAGCACTTTGAGAACCTCTTGATCCTGAAATATGCTTTTTACCAAGATCATTAGCTACTTTCTTTATATATTTCTTTGTTTACTAATAACAAGCCCTGCATGTTCAACACCTCAGTAAGGAGCTCTGTGTGTGATATGGAGCTCTGTGTGTGATAAGTAGGTCTGTGTGTGATAAGGAGCTCTGTGCGTGATGAGGAGGTCTGTGTGTGATAAGGAGCTCTGTGTGTGATGAGGGGCTCTGTGTGTGATGAGGAGGTATGTGTGTGATAAGGAGCTAGGTGTTTGATGAGGAGGTCTGTGTGTGATAAGTAGGTCTGTGTGTGATAAGGAGCTCTGTGTGTGATAAGGAGCTCTGTGCATGATAAGGAGGTCTGTGTGTGATAAGTAGCTAGGTGTGTGATGAGGAGGTATGTGCGTGATAAGGAGCTAGGTGTGTGATGAGGAGCTCTGTGTGTGATAAGGAGGTCTTTGTGTGATAAGGGGCAGAGTGTGTGATGAGGAGCTCTGTGTGTGATAAGGAGGTCTCTGTGTGATAAGGAGCTCTGTGTGTGATGAGGGGCTCTGTGGGTGATGAGAAGCTCTGTGTGTGATAAGAAGCTCTGTGTGTGATGAGAAGCTCTGTGTGTGATGAGGGGCTCTGTGTGTGACGAGGAGCTCTGTGTGTGATGAGGAGCTCTGTGTGTGATGAGAAGCTCTGTGTGTGATGAGGAGTTCTGTGTGTGATAAGGAGCTCTGTGTGTGATTAGGAGCTCTGTGTGTGATAAGGAGGTCTGATAAGGAGCTCTGTGTGTGATGAGGAGCTCTGTGTGTGATAAGGAGGTCTGTGTGTGATGAGAAGCTCTGTGTGTGATGAGGAGCTCTGTGCGTGATAAGGAGCTCTGTGTGTGATGAGGACCTCTGTGTGTGATAATATTAGCACTTCCCAAAGATGGCCCCGATGCTCTAATGAATCTCCATGTTTAATAGTTAATATGCAGAGTGTGAATTATTATAAAGGACAATGTATTTATTAGATTATATTTATTTGTTATCTCATGAAGAACGCTGCTTTTACCTGTTCTTAACAATCCAGTGCTTTGTCCCTTTTATGTTTCCGTAGCCGACCACAAGCACAGCATGATTAATACCTTCGGGGTCGCAGTTATTATCGTAATACACGCCTGCTCAGAGAGACGCCGGACGTGAGATCACAGCCACGCACAGTACATTAGGGTGTGCACCCAGGGAGTTATTTCATATAGAAAGGAGAAAATCATTCAAAAATTAGCCATAAAATAGAGTGATTTCGCTTCATAGAACTGAGACTTAACTAAACCACTTTAAATTATCATCCTAAGACATTTAATAGCACTTTCAGAATCCACACAAGAAGTCATTCTAATTGACGAATATAAAAGGTAATCTTTACCTCCAGACAGATAATGACCTATTTCACATTGACGACCTAACCGTGGGCCATGGTGGACAAGTCCTGCGTTACGGTTACATCCGGCATACAACTTGCCACCGGCTGAACTTTGTGTCCAACATGGTCTGTTGGACCTAAACCATCCAAACTAGCTGGGAACGTGCCACAACTCACTCGGGATATTAACCAAAGCGAGAAATCAAAGTGAATAGCAAATCCCAGGTGAAAATAGCCAACTGGAAATTCTCAAAGTCTGCTGGACTTATAGGTGACTTAGCCTTAAATTTGAATTTCACTTTGCATTGTCACTTTGGAGATTAATCGTGTCTGTTTAGTGACCTACAGGGTAATCAAATAGGTTGCTTAGCAGATCTGGTAAAATAGGAAATACAAATTATTTGATATAATTGTTAGAACATAAAACATTCCGTTAGGATTGAGTTCCCCTTTGAAGACAATCCTCTGATTAATAGAGTACTTGTTAATAGTGTTGTTTTTTCCTGTTATCTTATTTATATTTTTTATAGATAACAGTGTTAATTTTGGTTCTGCTTTTTTCAGCAGGTTGAAAAATCAGATCTCTCCTTTATTGAGGAACCTTCACTAAATTGTGAATTGTCTGGAATTCTGAGTGAATTTAAGCTGAATTTAAATTTCAGGCTACAAAAGTTGAACTGGAGATGTGTTTCCTGTTCAACAATTTCAGTCTAAAATTTGGAATTCACTGAATTCCTGGCCATTGACACTTCAATGAAGAATAACCCTGTGTGTGTATCAAATGGTTCTCATAAATATTAGACAAAACTGCTTTTGCATTTCGGTCTCAGCCCAAAAAAGTATCACAAAGTGATATTTACTATCCGGATGTGACTAGCCAGTGGCAATCTGGCAGTGCTTGGACATTAGTTCCCTTCACGACCATGATAATTGCAGGAGTAGGAATCCATCTAGATGGGAAGGCTATAGCATTCGCAATACTAATGGAACACTTTCTCTTGACCCACCAGACAGAGAGAGGAGGAGACTCTCACCTTTGCTGTAAAAGTGAAAGGAAGGGAGGCTGGCATCGATACTGACCGCCACTGGGCCAACCTGTGCCACCGCTCGTTTCAAGGCCTTTTCGTTTCCCCTTGGGATCTCCTTGAAGCCTCTACATGTGGCTGCTCTGTCTTCTGGTCGGTAGAGGCAGCCTTCATCCTTAAATAGAGAAAATCTACTTCATAGGTGTTTTTATACAGCGTCAGAGAGAGTATAACCCTCTGAAAATGACTACAGCTTACAGTCATACTGTGAAGAATCTACCAAGTTCTACTTCACGCCATATCTACTCTAATAGAAAAGCCATTGAGTTTGGAAGAAGTCTTCTATGTAGTCTTTCGCCACAGCTTACACAGATTTGTTAATTCAAGGTTCTTGGGTTTTCTGAACAGCTACCTCCCTAGCTATCCAATGTTGAGTGAAACCCATGGTCTGCAGAACCAAACGTTGTAGTTTATACAACTTCACTAACCATTTCTGTCTGTATTTGTGCCCTGGAACTCACCTGACCAATGTAAGGGTAGGATGTATCAGAATCTATTCCACCATTGTCCCTCACATAGCCAAATGCATTAGTCATGTATCCTCCTTGACATCCATAGTTATCCGTGTCACAATCCACAAGGTTCTGTGGGCTGAGTGAGACCAAGGTACCAGTCTTCTTCTTGAGCTGACCTTCCAGGGCCCCCACTGAACTGAAAGCCCAGCAAGAACCGCAGCTTCCCTGTAAAGAAAGATGTTTCTATGTGTTATCTGGTATGAAATAACGGTGGAAATACTTATTAACGTAAGAGATAAACCCCACCATACTTTAACCTGGTAACTTGGAAGTATAAATTTATTTTTAAAAGTTTGGGGCAGTTTAGAAAGTCAGAATGTTCTACCAAATTCCAGTCGTCCATGCCATTGTGGCTTCTCTATTTATCATATTTTACCACCACTTTTCCAGTGGATCGAAGAAATTACAAAGAATACTGAAACATGGTGAATTTGATGGACGTTTATTATTTCAGAATTTCACCAACTGTTCACCTCTCTGGCCTTCAAGACTAAAATAAAATATCATGTCAGTTGGCCAAACGTTGTTTAAAGAGTTATGAGGTGAATATTATATAACATCAATCTGAAAAAGCCAAAATGTTACAAACAAAATTTTCAACTGAACTTATCGATGAGGTCCATTGTCAGGACAGCTAAAAAATGACCAGTGAGAGGGTAAGGGGTCCCAGTTGCCCACATTTCCACGGTTATTGCTCAAATTATTTACCTGGTTTTGGACTGGAGTGACGTAGCCTTTCTTCCTGTAATCAATGTATTCGGGAATCCGTGACTTCCAATCAGGGGAATAGGTGTTATTGACTTGGCGATGGGCTGGCACCTTCAACCCAGTCATCGTCTGAACAATTTCCTCACTGGTCTGTAAATGGACGAATGTCCCACAATTACATGGTTAACTGCATGTTGTATGCATGTAGTATGTGCAATTTCATTCCTTCAGGATTATACTAACCAATAGATTTGACATTCCTATGTTCATTATTGTAAGAAAAGATGACATAGTTCTTAAATAAAAAGAATGGTTAGTACATACATAAAAGTTGGTACATTCGCAATGACATGACCTTCTCTTGGTACGTTGACATTGTCACTGTGACACAGATATTACTAATTGTGAGTCTGTTATCCTACATAAATAATTTAATGCATCATTTATAGAGAAATGAAAAGCAATGCATCTTGGAAAAAGGATGGCACAGGCTACTTATATATTAAAAGGGGCTGAGTTAGGAATAACATTAAATGAAAAGGATTTAGGAACAATTATAAATCACAAATTAGGCAACAGTATGCAATGCCAGTCTGCCGTTACAAAAGCTACTAAGGTAAATGTAATATTGTAAAGGGTTTTTGATTCACGTGATCCAAATATAATTTGGGCTCCTTATAAATCAATGGTAAGACCCCATTTTGAATATGTGGTGCAATTGTGGGCACCTGTTTTAAAGAAGGATTTTGCATAACTAGAAAAAGTACAGAGGAGGGAAATGTAAAATAGGAGAGAATATGATAGCACTATACAAATATATACAGGATCAGTACAAACTGCTACGTGATAACCTGTCATTAGCAGGAATATACAACATATACTGAGACTGGAAGAAAGGCGATTTCACTTAGTGTAAGAACAAGAAAAGATAATAAATAAAGGAATTCTCTGACTAAAGAGGTTGTGTTATCAGACTCTACAGATATTTTAATTTTTTTGAAAGGCTTGGATGCTTTTTTGTACAAACAGAATATAATTGGTATGTAAGAAGGAGAAATCTGATAGACGTTATGAAGTCAAGAAGGGATTTTGTTCTCTTTTTGTGGAATAATTGGGAATGGGTACAACTTGGTTTGTTTTTTTGCAATCTTATGGAATAACAGCATAAAAGAATTTGTCAGGGTTGAATTCGATGGACTTTTAGTCTTTTTTTCAAACTAAACAAGCAGGTAACAATGAAATCTACAGTAAGTGAGAGGACGTACAGAATGTGGGTACACAGACTGTAAGTACAAAAAACATAATATTTCACCATGTCTCCCAGATGATTCATGGCCAGATTGTACGAATGTATCCCCTCTGAGAACTGGATGTTATGGGAAGCAATTATCTGTAGGTTCTTCTCCCAGATCTGACGTCTCTGCTCCTCATGCGTCTGTGGAGGGGTATGTAGAGGATTTAATAAAATTACTGGCCACGTGGAGTGAGGCATTGAGCGTCTGCAATAACTAATGAATAATACAGATATGAATAGGAGATATAAACACAGGTAATGAAGTGATTGAGACCCCGTGTGGGCATTTCCATACCGGAAGCTGTAACATAATTTTCTAGAAAATTTCTCATTAGTGGTGGCTTTCTTCTCGAACTCTGTAAAGAAGACACGGAGAAAGACTATGCCACCCATCAAGGGAGACCTTTACTCCCATAGAATATCTGAATGTGCCTAAGCAAACTTGAAGCTTAAAGGGACACTCCAATGCCAGGAAAACAATCTGTTTTCCTGGCACTGCAGGTCCCCTCTCCCACCCACCCCCCATGCCATGTTGCTGAAGGGGTTTAAACCCCTTCAGTGACTTACCGGAGTCCCGCGCCGATGTCCATTGGCGCTGGTTCTGGGTTCCCCACGCTCCTCCGCTGCCTATGTCATCCAGCAGGGGAGACCGATTGCGCATGCGCGGCCAACCGGCGGGGTGAGGCCTAATGCGCGCATGCACATTAGACCTCCCCATAGGAAAGCATTGAAAAACACTTTTAATGCTTTCCTATGGGTATTTGAGCGACGCTGGAGGTCCTCACATAGCGTGCTATGAACCAGGAAGAGCCCTCTAGTGGCTGTCTAGTAGACAGCCACTAGTGGAGGAGTTAACCCTGCAAGGTAATTATTGCAGTTTATGAAGACTGCAATAATTGCAGTTGCAGGGTTAAAGGTAGTGGGAGTTGGCACCCAGACCACTCCAATGGGCAGAAGTGGTCTGGGTGCCTGGAGTGTCCCTTTAACTTGATCAGACTTTGTCTGTATATAAAGTATATGTGCTTATCTTATTTACTAAAAAGTGAAATTGTAGACAATTGTCCTGTAGATTGCAACTTTTATTCCAAAACAATCGGAGTGTAACTCATTCTCTAACTCAATGTATTAACATCTCCGGCCATTTTGGATTAAGATTTGCAATTTCCTGATCAGTTTACTGAATTCATTGCTCACTTTCTGCTGTGTGTGTTTGTATGTGTGTGTGAGTGTGTTTGTGTGCGTGCTTGTATATGTATGTGTGTGTGTGTGCGCGTGTGTGTGAGTGTGTTTGTGAGAGTGTGAACATAAAGCTTTTTGAAACAGCTGAATTTCTCACCGGATTCTGGTACTGTTTGCCATGAGTCTGCTTCCATTTCTCCCACTCAGAATTCAGTGTATCATCTCCATCCACACTGGCCGTCACCAAGGGAAGAGCGAAAACCAAAACACAGAAGTACAACATTGTGCTGCAAACAGTCATAGATTAGTCAGTCTCGTGTACCGGTAGACAGCCCCTGCAAAGCCATAGATCATTCATTGCTGCTTGTTATTGTTGGTGTTCACAGCTTGGTAACCATAAAGGGACACTATAGTCACCTAAACAACTTTATCATACTGAAGCAGTATAGAACATGCCCCTGCAGGCTCACTGCTCAATTATCAGCCATTTAGGAGTTAAATCCCTTTGTTTATGAACCCTAGTCACACCTCCCTGCATGTGACTTGCACAACCTTCCATAAACACTTCCTGTAAAGAGTCATCTGAAGTTTAGCCTTCCTTTATTGCACATTCTGTTTAATTTACAATTTCTTATCTCCTGCTCTATCATTAGCTTGCTAGACCCTGTAAGAGCATCTTGTATGTAATTAAAGTTCAATTTACAGAGCAGGAAATGCTTAAAGTAAGTTACATCTGATTGAAAATGAAACCATTTTGTTTTCGTGCAGGCTGTATCAGTCACAGCCATTGGAGGTGTGGCTAGGGCTGCATGAGCAGAAAAAAACAGTGATTTAACTCCTAAGTCTCTCCCAGAGAATTGAGCAGCGAAACTTCAGAGACATGATCTATACACCAAAACTACTTCATTAAGCTAACGTTGTTTTAGTGACTATAGTGTCCCTTTAACAAGACGGTCAAAATGAACTTGACTTGAATAGCATAAACCATATCTACTGAGTCATAGTATCATGCACCTACTACTTTTATAAACCTCCAGGCGTTTTACGCTGCCTCCCTTGATTGAACGTAGGTATTCACATACATCTTGCAATCCCCTTGGGCTCTGCTCACTGAAAACGACATTTATAAAAATGCACCAACTATCCACACCGGCCGAGCACAAAGGTAGCTTTTTATAACAAGGTTTTAAAGAAGAGAAATTTCAACCGTTAAATGTAATTAATGAAATGGAAAAAATCCCACTCAGGTTATTCCCAAAACTATATGAAATTAACAAATAGAAAATAATTAATTTAGCTGATTACAAATCTAAAGAAAATATTAATATTGTAATCTCTCTAACCAAAAATGTCCTAAAAAAACACAAAAATAAACATTTGATATAGATAATTTAAAGGAAGATGAAAACATGAAAAAACAAGTGGGTGGCACATGATGATTGAAACACATTGTGACTGGAAGACGGATTTTTTTGCTAAACATGTGACAATGAAGACTTTTGGTCACAATGTATCCCTTCTGGCTACTAACGTATGATATTAAAGCTACATTTTATTATTATTTAAAGTAAGAGGTTACTTGCTATATCTCCTCTGTGAGCCTTATTTTGTCATTTTGTCAGGAAACATCACTGTTGGATGCTCTGCATTAACTTTGCTCTATGGGGGTGTCCTTCTTGAATCCTCTTTGGCCAGGATCACCTGCTTGTGCGACATAAATCATCCCGATTATAAAGAGTTAGTGTGTGTTAATGAATCCTGCCATCCTGCCCAAGCAGTGGACATTTCAAAACACACTGTGGGATGGATTCAGGCCTCAAACACACATAATCTAGGCAGAGAAGCAGTGATTCTGACCATAAAGGCTAAAGATGGCCTCGGCGGCTGCATCGAAGCAGGCGTGAGCAAACATGAGTAGTGAAAACATTTACTTATACGTGTTCATAGAAAATAATGCACAGGAGGCCTTTATTTCCTGTATATTTTCATTAATAATGAGAAATGGTAGGAGTTTTCAGAGCAGGCTTTATTCCGGCAGAGATTTTGCAGGTGCCTTCCTACGCTGCCAAGAATGCTGTACACCTTTTTTAAAGCAGAACACTTTGATAAAATCCCCCATTATCTCATGGTAGCCTGCGCCCCTTTCAAGGCGGAGCTTGGTATCTGCTCTTGTTTTGGCATTGAGGTGTCCAAGGAGTCACTAAATCAGGGGTAGACAACTTTCCGTATCCCCAAATTTTCCGGAGTACATTACCGCTGATGCAATGCCTGCCTTATGGGAGATGTAGTCCACAGCATCCATACAGCTGAAAGTTGTCTACATCTGGGCTAAATAATTAAAACATTTATCATTAAGCACCAGCGAGGTGTCATGTGATATATAGTTAAGATGGCTGCTCTGTAGCGCACACCCAAAGCAGCTTCCATTGTGGCGATCTTAATTTATGAACTCCAGACTTGTTCAGTATACATTAGGACAGTGTACCTTTAACGTGCCAACATATACTCCAATAGGCAGCTCCACTCTGTGTATACTGGGACATGATGGCGATTTTATTTATTATCTTTAACGTTTGCTTTAACAGTTCAGCTTTTCAACAGCTGCTAATCAGCACTTTGCATTAAGAGGAAGAGGAAGGGATTCTGGGTTTTTTATCTCCATTTTCCAGTAAAGGAAATGAAACAGAGTGACCTGAATAGCGGTTTTATTTTTGTGTATTTTGATTACTAGAAGTGCAGTCTTATCCTTAATTTACTAAGCAGGGAAGTTTCATTTCAACACCGTTTACATTACAGTCAATAAACCCACAATTTATTACTATAAAATAAGCTCATTTAAATAAAATCTCCCAGTTAGCTGGTTCCAGTTTGTTATGTTAAACTCCCTTTGAATTGCCATGAAATACCTGGAAACTCCGACTTTGGTGAATAAGTCAGAAAACTATTTTATTACACAGGGTGTTATTTTAACAGGGGGACGATGATATGAAAAACACGTCTGTGTCACGCCACAAATCTAGAAATCTGGATTCAGCTCAGTGGGGGCCTCTGACTCTGGCTTTACGCAATTTTTAGAATTAATACAATGTATTTTTTATTATTTACATTCTTCTTAATAATATAAAATAGGGAACCAAAACGATAAAGCATTTCTATTGTAATCACAGTATGTTACACAGCCTGCACTCTGTGTCAGATGGATCTATACGCAAATTAGCCTCTAGCTTACACATTTCTTGACAGGAACTAATTTTGCAAAAACAATCCTGACATCAAACTTGAAAACCCAACATCTGCTAACATAAAGTTTCATATTTAATACAACCCGTAACAGTGCCACAATCTCTGGGCAATAGGTAGGTATGTGATGGGTGCACCATTTTGCCCCGCGAGTTGCGTCCTGTGGTCCATATAAATATGTGGATAACGGGTAACATTGTAGGATGACTTACAGGAGTAATATTATTGAATATGCATTATACTGTTCATGTGGATGCTATGTAAAAAAGGCCCAGGAGCATTGGCAAGAATTCAAAGTGGATTTCAAATTTAAGGCCAAAGTAACAAACATTCTACAAATCAGCTATTCTTCCAAACTTGGCTATTTTGGCCACAAAAGCCACATGTAAAGACCCTCAGGGAAGCAGTGATATAAAACATGGAACATTAAATCATTTTCTGCCTACCTTGGACTCCTTGTAGTTCTGAATCTGTGTTTGGGATTTTGACCGTAACATATATGGTCTGATATGCGGAAGTCAGAACGGAAAATGTTGATGAAGAACCTGGGATTTTATGAATCACTTATGGAAAACGTTCCTCTCCAGAATCATTTGTAGTTTAACCTGTTTGTTTGTCAGAATCACGTTGGGGATATTGAGCTCCGTGGCATGGTTTGATTTCAGTCTAATATTTCAAACATAGTGATTTGAGATCAAGTGCACTCATTTCACAATTGCAAATTCCCCTAAAACAAGAATCTCCAAATCTTTAAATACATGATCGAACCACAAACATTCCATCTTGTTTAGAGGGTTTGTTTAATTGGTTTTAATAACTTTATTTAGGTTTGGTGCAGGTCTTATATATTACAAACAAGTTTAAGGAAATGTTGTAATCATCAATGCAATATAATTTGGAAGCCTCATTTGTCCTGTTTATAAATGGCACAGTCCCCCTAAAACAATATATTTCACATTACATCTGAACCTACACACATACAGATTCTATTAAACAAAAATAGCCGACCTCGTTCTTTTGACCTACCATCCGTGGGTTTCTGGATACGCGGCCCCGTGATGGGGAGACACATAAGTGATACATTTACAAACTAAACTTTTTACATTTATAACCTGCCACCAGGTAAGGACTAGGTTAAAAAAAATCAGGTATGCCCATCATAAATTCAACAACGGCTTGATTTTGACCCATGCTAACATGATAGCACCAGACATATCCTGAAAATGTTTCAACCACACATTCATACAATGAAATTGACTCTGCAATGGGATTGTGGGATGGGACTGTGGGATCGAACGCTGAGATGGGACTCTGGGATGGGATTGTGGAAGGGGATTCTGAGATGGAATTAGACTCTGGAATGGGACTCTGTGATGGACCACTGGGATGGGATTCTGAGATGGGACTGTAGGATGGGAATCTGGGATGAGACTCTGGGATGGGTCTCTGAAATGGAGCTCTAAGATGGGACTCTGGGATGGGACTGTGGGATAGTGCTGATGGGTTGGGACTCTGAGATGTAACTGTGGAATGGAACTCTGGCATGTGATTGTGGAATGTGACTCAACTCTGGGATGTTAGTCTGTGATGGACCTTTTGGTTGGGAATCTAGGATGGGACTGTGGGATGTTACTGTGGAATGAGACTGTGGACTGAAACTCTGAGATGGGACTCTGGGATGACACTCTGGGATTGGTCTCTGGGATGAGACGGTAGGATGGACATCTGTGATAGGACTCAACACTGGGCTGAGACTTTGGGCTGGGACTCTCAGATATGACTGTGGAATGGGATTCCGGGATTGGCTGTGGGAAAGAACTCTGGGATGGAATTCTGCAATTGGATGTGACTCTGGGATGGACCCGTCTGATGGAACTTTGAGATGTGACTGTGGTTTAGGACTGTGGGACGTGAGTGTGGAATGAGACTCTGAGATGGGACTCGACTCTGGGATGAGACTGTAGGATGGACCTCTGTGATGGGACTCTGGAATGATAACCTGGAGTGGATCTCTGGGATGGGACTCAACTCTGGAATGGGACTCTAGGATGGACTGTAAGAAGGGACACTGGGACAATCCAATCTGAAGTTCCTCTTGGCCATTGGCATAGTGGAATAACTAGCAGCAACGTTAATAATAACTAGCAGCGATGCTAAATAACAACTAGCATCAATGTTAAATAATAACTAGCAGCAACGCTAAATAATAACTAGAGCAACGCTAGATCTGTTGCTGGCCTGCTAGGCCTTCTGATACCATTCCTTTAACCAGTTCGTTGCAGGCCAGTTAGATGCATGTGTCACATGGCGGCTGTTCTGATACATTTGCAACCTTGGAATCATGGGTTGTGGTATTGGAACAGACACTCCGGGATTTTATTAACATAACATCTGTTTTCCATTGGCCAAGAATCATATGATTATCAGTCACCAGAGTTAACTTAACTCCTTCCTCCAAAACTCAACTGTACGAGCGTATTCAAGGAAATTAAAGGAATTAGTAATTTTGTGTGTAACGGCAGAAAAACCATGTAACAGTGAATATGAGACTAGATTCTTAATATCCATCTTACAGACATTATCTGACATAATATATTAACATTACAGCGTTTACATTCACCCTGAAATGCTGCATGTGTCTTTTGATGTAGGTGCTCTGGATGCTGTGTGTGGGATAGTACCTGGACACAGCTAAGGCCTAAGCATATACCGCATGTCATATGCCTGCCATATACCGTAATAGAATTCATGGACAGTCAATTCATGTCATCACACGTATCCAGGCCAGCTGAGAATCTTTTGATATAAATTGCAAAACAAAAGACAAACAGGGAGATTATTTAGAAACGGTTATTGTGCAATAAATGCAATTATCAAACATCAGATACATTTAGATTGAGAGAGATGTTTAATGTTTAAATTTGCATATAAATAAATAAAAAATACTTTGGATTGGTAAACACTGTGCACTTTTCAGAGATGAATGATTACCAATCCCTATGTTACAGGCCTTGCCATGGATCATAGGATTTGTTTTACGGACAGAGAATCACTCCCGCAATATAAATAGTGGGCGCTTTGGTTAATAAATAGCATACAGATCACGTATTAATTCATCAGACCACGGCAAAAAAAAAATACTTATAAAAGCTTTAAATTGTTTTTGTTTTTTAAACTTTCAGGGACTTCAGCTGTCTTATATTCCACACTCCTTCTTTCCTATATTCCCACCCCTTCTTTCCTATATAGGATCCACCGCAAGGAATCTAAAATCTAATATCGACAAAGGCTAAGCTGTTCATGTAGGGCCCATTAAAATCAAAGTATAAATATACAATGAATGAGGTATTACAGATTTCAACAGAAAAATCCATATCTGCAGAAATGGTCACATAGCAAGAAAAAAAAAAACAGCATTCATTAAAAAAAATATAAACACAAAAATGGTTCAAAATAAATAAAAAAAACTATCTCCTGGAAATTCTGCTTAAAATAGACATAACAAACAATATTAAAAAAATCTGGTGTGGAAATAATTGCAAAACTGTAACTTTTATTGCATTCCCAGTTTGGGACATTGAACGTGGTCCCCTAGGAAACAATTATAACCTGCTGGACAAGAGAGTGGGGAAAAAGTTAGCAAAACTACATCTCCAACGCAGAGATCACACTCATCTAGTCCATATGATCCCAACGCATTTCACTCATCAGTGGTAGCAATCACGGGAAAAGTGGGACAGCGCACATAAGCTGAAAAGTACTTTTTAATGAAAGGGACTTTTTAATACATTGCTAGATTTTCCACAGTTTGAAGTGTTTGATTTTAGATTGCGAATACAAGTTATTTAAGAAATTACCTTCAGACCAGTTTCGTTTTATTTTTTAATTGTGAGTTAAGTGTGAGTTTCCTACGTCTTGTGGGAGTAGGCCTCTGTTTATAATAATAGTTCCTCTTTTTTTCTTGTTACTTAAAATAGCATTATAGAGATTAAAGACATTATAAACCCTGACATTAGCAGTTAGTGATTGAGGGAGGGGTGCAATTAGGGAGTTTTCAATGAGCCAATGGAATAATTTGGAGTCTGGTTAACAGAACGCTAAGTTTGGGTGATAAACCCTTAGTGTGGGCTCTTTGTGTTACTAAAACACTGATAGAGTTTCACATTGTTGGTTCTGTGTTTACGTATTTTCTATTTAACAAATAAAATATAGATTGCCGTTACAATAGTGTTTCAGGGCTCACTGGCTTTTTCATAACATAATCTGATCATCGTTACTAAGTAATATTGGCTAAACAAAGACTCCAATGCGTCACGTCCATCTTTTCCCACATCTCCAAAAAAAGGCAAGGAATGCAATTTTAGGAGGTTTCCAATTTCACCAAAAAGTGGGAAGAATATGTTCTTGACTCCGAAATATCGCTCATATTATATCTCTGCAGCCTATTCGCAGAGATCGCCCTATTCAATAGTTCTGTCTGTAATTTATTAATAAGAGTGAAATTCGCAGTGTGAGGTAACTATGCCAGTTCATCTTGTAAGCGCCCACTCAGAGTCCACCAGAACATCAGACCCCACTCATTTTATGGAGATACAAAGCTCTCCAGTGATGGGGGCAGCTCCAATATTAATAGAAACTATTGAACAGATACAGTATTATCAGAACGACTGATGGGTTAAATCTATGTCCGTTCACCGGCTCTAGTTCCTGACGATAAGAGAGAGTCATGTTGGGGTCTGTTTTCTATTAGTACGTCTCTACACGATCCATGCTTTGATGTGCTTTGATGTATCAGGATCTAATATGGAATGTGAACATTGGGCAATCTATAATATGGACGTCCATCTCTGACCTGACTTTTATTAGCCCCAGGTGGAGGGAGTGCTCCGACTAGACTCCATATTTACAGCTGGCCAGAGTCTGAGTGTGCACTTCAGATTCCCCACCAGTATTCGCTATATTGCTATTAAGAGTGAAGTTCGGATTTTCTACACAATCCACAATTAGGGGTGAATTAAAGCAGCAGTGTAGTAACTGGGGAAGATGGGGAAAGAGGGCGCAATCTCCTCCTCCCCAAAAACCTGGTGTAGCTTTTAAGATTCTAGGTTTCAATGTTAAAGAAAGAATAGCAGGGGATATGTTCAGAGTTGGTTATCATAGTCTATAGATAGACTCCCAGGTGATAATATACCAGTACCTAGCGACGATTGGTTTTAAGCCAGGATTAACATAGCGCAGCCATAGCATGGCATGCTGGAGGGGTATCTCCTTGAGGAAGGCCTAGTGCCGAAACGTTGGGGTTTTGTGGTCTCCTGCTCGGGTCCGTATACCTGTTACACTGGGTTTATGCATACAAGGAATATTCTGCATGTTTGCATTTATTACTTGTATATCTCAGTTATTGTATCGTATGAATAAAACCTTTTTGTGCAATACTTTTTGGTGTGCTTTGGGTTTATTTTCTAGTGTTTACATTGCTGCCTAGTAACACCTCT